TATGCAAATTTGGCAAAGATAACCTATGTTAAAAAATTGTCAAATTATATCAATGCGGGATCTATTTTCGAAGAAGAGCTCATGTGAGGGTGCGACAGTGAAAACGGTTTGTCGTTTGATTGCTCGGGCAAAAGATTTTTTTTATTTAGAATTTGAATCTGGTTACAAATAAGTACATAACCTACCACACCTTCGATCCCGTGGAAGAAATCCACCAAAACTCTGGTGATTCTGATCACACCATTCCATCGACAAGAAAACACACATAATATCATTCGGGGAAAAAACACACATAATATGATCAAAATTTAGTGTTATATATACGGGTTTGTTAGCTTTTATCTAGAAGAGTGTTAACTATATCTCGCTCAGCTCCTCCGACAAATCCTATATTATTCTTAAAAAGTCTGTCCCAATTTTCTTAACATAGAAAGTGTCCATATCAACGTCCCTACTAAGTCATGCATTTAAATCTTCACTCCCACTAATTCATCATGCATTTAAGTATACCACATAAGCAAACCATGCAATTTAGCTTATAAACTATATAATTATTTTTGCATTAATCCATGCACGTACCACCGCCACATCATACATGCATGTTAGTCAACCTTCATATTTTTGTTCGAAATGACACTTTTAACTGTAATTCTTCTTTTTTAATTTCTAAACATATTTTTATTGATTTTCAAGATTATTTTTTGCTTTCACTAGAGTTAATTATTTTTAGCAACTATTTATGCATTTCTTTAACAAAGTTTCTGCAGCAACGGGCAAAGCATCATCTAGTTTACATGAAGATTCGTGAAGATGTTCCCTTTTTGTTTGATTACTTTATGTGTTTTTTCCACGTCACACACAATTACAGCATGCGCACCGACGTGTAATTATAACACGCCAGCCGGCTATGCGCAACTACAGCCGAGCGCGACTACAATTGCAAGCACGCCAGCCGGCTATTGCTGAAACGTATGTCCACTAGGAGCGCGTAAGTAGAGTTACAACATGACACTTCTCTACAACATGTCAACTATATTTATGTATATTTTCTAAAGAGAAAAAACCACAGTAAAGAGGGTGGAGAAACAAAAGGAGGAAAAAAAAGTGAAGGAATAAAAAATCCTATTATGTTCATATATGCTGAGATCTATACTTAAACCTCATCTAAATGAAAGGACCCTATTGAATTTAGATACATTATAACTCAGCATGCTAGGAAGCCTCTCAGGCCATTAACAATTTTGGTCGTCAGATCGCACCTCCAAATCATTTTTGGCCGTCCGATGCACATGTCCCTCCGGTGTGGGCCGCTACTCCAGAAACAAATTCAATGCCCTCTCGTTCGATCCAGATAGACGGTCGTGATGAGGCTGCCTATTGACCCCGCACCGCACCCAGCCCCTCTCGATCTCCCGACCTAGGATGAAACCTATGCGCTAGCGCTATTGCCGCCGCCGCCGCGAGAGAGATAGAGAGAGGGAGAGGGAGGGACGGAGAGAGATGGGCCGCCGCCGCGAGAGGAAGCAGCCCTTTGTTAGATGCACGAAGAGGAAGACCAAGACTACCAGTGATGGCTCGAGATTTTGACCTTGGAATCAGTCTACGATGGTGTTGCCTGTGTATTGGTGGCACTTCATCTCTCCCTCCTGATGCGTGCGAATCCTAAAGCAGCGGCCTCTCTCATTGATCCTCTCTCTTGTCTGTCGTTGTACTTCCTAACCTTTCAATCTGTACCTGTATTTGTTCTCAAGTCTTAGCTCAGTGACCGGTCAGCTTCAATGTGATGAGTTCGGCTAGATCCGCTTGGTGAAGAAATGGTGTACCTGTACCACCTTGGTGCGGTTCCTGGTGGTTGATATCCATGGAGGGGATGGGTCTGCAAAAGCTGGCACTAGGTAAGTTATGTCTGCATATTCGTTTGGTGAAGTGCGCATAGTTACTTCAACATATGCTTTATTTAATTGATATACAATTCTTACCCCTTCTTGATGTTTCGGTGATCCCAACTGGCGCTATTCAATTTTGTATTTGGGTGCCAATTTAGCAAACTGAAATCTACTTGATCATGAAACAAACTGGAAATCATGATCTACTTGAACATGTGTTATGCTCCTCTAGAAAAAATAAAAGGAGATGTCTATGGATTTCAGCATTCCATTTGTTTTCTTCATCAAGTTATTGAGATCATGAATGGATTGACAAGTTAGAGAAATATGGGTCACATACGTATTAGTTGCGGTCATCCTTATCCTTTACCAGTTTGCTTCAACCAAAAGGAAAATTCGGCACATGGAATAAAAATCTGTACACTTCCATTATGAACTCGAAGTATATTTGGATGCAGTTCCATTTGGCCATTTTTACATATTCTCTTCTCATGAACATGATATTGAGAAATACAAAAATAAAGCATTTAAGTCCAGATGAAACTTCCTCCCCAAATTCTTCATGATTGTTTCTCAATATATTAAATATTCAGTTATAGGTTGGTTTGATTTGTTGTATCTGGTGGAGCGAGCTCTCCTCATTTGCGTGTAAAAATGGTTATTATAAATTTACGTAATCGTGGTGGAGTTATCTAGGATATTGTATCTGCCTCGGTATCAATATTTATTCATGAACTGTGCCGCTTTTTTTTACAGAAAATGGACAAGATGGGAACAACAAGCTTCATTCCCTCCCCTTTCTCTAAAGCCCCTCTTTTTTTTACATCAATTGCTTTTTATTTTATAATTTTATTGCCAATAATTTTGCTCAGGAAAGTTTAGAGGGATGATATGCTATTTGCTAAGCGCGAGCTTCATTGTTCATCAGTTTATGGTTCACTTGCCCAAATCAAAAAATATTAATTGCAGTTGACCAAAAGCAACTAGATCGTGCTATTGCATCAGTTAAATAAACAATCTTGACAAACCTAGAATCCAAGGTATGCATTGTGATATGTTTCTGTAGTTTTTTTTTTGCGAGATGATATGTTTCTGTAGTTGATGATCCACTAATAATATAAACGGACATGTTGTACAAGTGAAGACATGGGGCGCCAACTATTGACATTTAGGGGGAGGGCAGAGTATTTTAACATCTCTTCCCTAAACCTTGATATTTCGCCTGGTGCTTATGGTTCTATTCCATGCAAGGCCGAGAAATAAGGAATAGCTTGATGGTGACAATGACATGCCAACTTATAGGTGTATTGTATGTTGGTACTTGGTTGCTCTTTTACTGGAAGAAAATGATTCGTGTTTGTTTCCGATCTGTTTGACGAAATTGCTCTATAATGGCACGTAACACATTTTTTCATCCTCTGAGCTGCTCAGCATACATGTAAATATTTGGACTGCGAAATGGATCTTAGCCATTGACTGACAAAGAAGGGTGCGATCTTTCACCGGAGGTAAGTCCTTGCCTTCAAGTTTGCATGTCATGTGTGGTGACTTTTGTTAGAATAACTTTGCAAATTGTAAGGATATACTGCCATATTATCCTATAAACTGCTATTCCTATTTTGGCAAGCAAAAAAAATCAGAATACCATCAAATCAGTAGGGAGACTTGCATGTCCAATTGTAATTGTTTCTTTCGTACTTTCCAGAACATTTCTGTGTTTATTTTCTGCATTCTGAAATCTAGCTGGCAGCAAACTCATATTTTACCAATGCAATAATATGCAGTACTGCTACATCTACAATATAAGCTGTGCTCTGTTGGAAACAAAGGCGCTCGTGTCTTGTATCATGGATACGTACAAACCTTTGCCCTTTGAGTAAAGGTGCATTTTGGCACTCAAAAAATCATTACAGAAATTCTTATGTGTATTTTATAATGTCAAAATATTAACTCATTGTCCTAGGGCTAATGCCTTTCCAGTTCCATCTCAAATATTTTACAATCTTTCTAGCTACTATCACTTCCTATCTTTGGTTGGTTAAATAAAATATACTTTAACTGCATTTTACTCCAATCATAATTTATATAACTTAATGTAGTAAGAATCACTCCAAGGTTATATTTAAGCTGATTGGAACACTGCATCAGCTTATGATTGTTATGTTGGGAACTTGGGATCAACAATTTGGATTCTTATGTCATGTTGCCAACGGGCCATGGTGTTGGTTTCTTATGTCATGTTGCGAATCAGGTTTTGTGGTTGTGCTAATAGTTCCTTGGTTTTCTCTGAACATAAAACTTTTCCCTTCTCCAACTGAACTAAACTGGATAGTCCACTGCCTTACTCCAATCAGGCAGTGACGACAGTGAAGAAGTGTTCGGACAGGAGACCACTGCCTTATGTTAGAAGCCCTTCCAACTGAACAACTACCTATATAGATGAGCCAATTTGAGGAGATCAGCACTGCAGCGACACAACGGGGAAGGAAATCCTATAATAACTTGGCATGTAACTGTTCTCTTTGTCAAACCTTTGTAATTTTTTTCTATTTTTATGTGGTGAGTGTACTCCTTGGTATGCAATTTACTCCAGTTATTGACAATTTAGTGAGTTCGTAACGCACACTTCTATATTTAACTCTTTCATTTGAAACAAATATATGAAGCAGATTATGCTAATTCAATTCTACATCTTCATATATTTACAAAAATGCCTACCAATCTTTTGTCAAAATGGACAGGCGCCGCAACGCGCGCTCACCATGATCTAGTAAGGACATATGACAGATCTTCATTTGATATCAGGTAAGTTTCTTCACAAAAACACAGTAAATTTGCTCTTCGAAGACCAAGCCATTAGTGCTTAATAAAAATGAAGCTTCTGCTCCCAATTTCTTTTCAACCATCATGTTAAAGCTAACAAACTAAAGATACGATAAGCTAAATCACGTCAGTATGCTACCTATTCATCTGCAGTAGCAGACAGCCACTCTAATCCTGAAATTGCAGCGTAATCTAGATTCGGATACAAAGCACAAGACAGGCGGTTCGTTAGGAGATTGTCGTCCCAACAAGTGGATATACTGCGATGATAAGTCAGGGTTATATCGAAATTTAACCGTCTTTGGTCGATTTCTTGTCAGACTCGTCTCTGTGAATGCTGGCATCAGAAGATTCCTTTTTCTCTGGGGGAACTGGCTGATCCTCTTCTTTGACAGGAGACGGGCAATCTTCAGCAGTCAGGCCCTTTTGTCCATCGGAAGAGGAACATCTTAGGTTTAGTCGGAAGGAGCCACCATATAGTACTTTCTGCACAGCTGGATGCTTAAGAACTGCAAGCAGTGAAAGCGTGTATTGTCAAGCGTAATGGAAACAGGACCAAACCCAATTGCAAGGTACAGGAGGCTCACCTATCTTTCCTGCAAGAGTCAGAGCACTCCAGGTGACCAAGGAACAAGAAATCGCCTGGACAGGACATAAAATTGGAGATGATTTGTCATCAGAAAGTAGGGCAGTATCATCATGTTTACAACCATACATAGAATGGCTTGAATACTCACTATTGGATTTAATCTTTTGGCCTTTATAAATGACAGTAACCATTATGCAGTATTTAAGAAAGAGCTCACGGAGACATGGTAATAAACCTACTGTCTCAAGGCATTGAAGAAAACAAAAATTAAGCTGGTTACGATTTTTTAGCTCTTATTTGAAATGGAGGGGTGGGGGGCTAAATACCTTCCTATTTTGAGGGTGTTCAGGCTAAATTCAACAAACAAACAACAACAACAAAGCCTTTAGTCCCAACAAGTTGGGGTAGGCTAGAGCTGAAACCCATAAGATCTCGCAACCAACTCATGATTCTGGCACATGGATAGCTAGCTTCCACGCACCCCTGTCCATGGCTAGTTCTTTGGTTCATGCTAAATTCAACAATGTAAAATTATTCAATAACAAAAAACTCTAAGCATGAGCAAATACCCCACTCTACCTGAGGAAGGGTTGCTGTCCACAGCATAGGCAGAAGAGATGTTGCTCTCACAAACTGCCTTATATTATCTTCCATCTTGCGAGAGCGTTCTGTACGTTTTGCTGCAACACCATAGTTGACCTAAAAGCCAAAAACTCATATTAGTCATCCCTCCATCCATTTGGAAAGGTAAGGCGTCCACACTTCCCAGTGCTTATCTTTGACCAACAATTAGTGAAATTTATGTGGTTTCTGTGATAAAAAATTGAGTTTGCTAGGTGGGATTTTAATACAAATCCAACAACATCAATTTGTATCAAATAATGTACACATTGTTTAACTAAATATCGGAATCCTGAAAAGCGTGGCCAGCACTGGCAAGTTGCCACCTTACATTTCTCAATAGAGTAACACTTAAGAAAACAAATTAATCTCATGGAAACAGTGTACAGTGGGAGCACAGACAAACTAAACAAAATCTAAAGGAAAAATAGTTGAAGGATGCGATAAACGGCATCTCGAACTTTGTAGCACAAGAACAAACATACATTTAGATAAGAAGAACTGTACACATACCTCAAAGCGAAGCATGATGAACAGTGATGTTATCATGGGAAAGATGCAAAGAGCATCAGGGGTCGTCAGATCAGTAAACCATAAAGCTCCACCCCCTTTTAAAGATGGAACTTTCTCAACCATGTTTGATATCTAGAAGCAACAACAACAACAACAACAAAGCCTTTAGTCCCAAGCAAGTTGGGGTAGGCTAGAGGTGAAACCCATAAGATCTCGCAACCAACTCATGGCTCTGGCACATGGATAGCAAGCTTCCACGCACCCCTGTCCATAGCTAGCTCTTTGTCGATACTCCAATCCTTCAGGTCTCTCTTAACGGACTCCTCCCATGTCAAAATCGGTCGACCCCGCCCTCTCTTGACATTCTCCGCACGCTTTAGCCGTCCGCTATGCACTGGAGCTTCTGGAGGCCTGCGCTGAATATGCCCAAACCATCTCAAACGATGTTGGACAAGCTTCTCCTCAATTGGTGCTACCCCAACTCTATCTCATATATCATCATTCCGGACTCGATCCTTCCTCGTGTGGCCACACATCCATCTCAACATACGCATCTCCGCCACACCTAACTGTTGAACATGTCGCCTTTTAGTCGGCCAACACTCCGCGCCATACAACATTGCGGGTCGAACCGCCGTCCTGTAGAACTTGCCTTTTAGCTTTTGTGGCACTCTCTTGTCACAGAGAATGCTAGAAGCTTGGCGCCACTTCATCCATCCGGCTTTGATTCGATGGTTCACATCTTCATCAATACCCCCATCCTCCTGCAACATTGACCCCAAATACCGAAAGGTGTCCTTCCGAGGTACCACCTGGCCATCAAGGCTAACCTCCTCCTCCTCACAGCTAGTAGTACTGAAACCGCACATCATGTACTCGGTTTTAGTTCTACTAAGCCTAAACCCTTTCGATTCCAAGGTTTGTCTCCATAACTCTAACTTCCTATTTACCCCCGTCCGACTATCGTCAACTAGCACCACATCATCCGCAAAGAGCATACACCATGGGATATCTCCTTGTATACCCCTTGTGACCTCATCCATCACCAATGCAAAAAGATAAGGGCTCAAAGCTGACCCCTGATGCAGTCCTATCTTAATCGGGAAGTCATCGGTGTCGACATCACTTGTTTGAACACTTGTCACAACATTATTGTACATGTCCTTGATGAGAGTAATGTACTTTGCTGGGACTTTGTGTTTCTCCAAGGCCCACCACATGACATTCCGCGGTATCTTATCATAGGCCTTCTCCAAGTCAATGAACACCATATGCAAGTCCTTCTTATGCTCCCTATATCTCTCCATAAGTTGTCGTACCAAGAAAATGGCTTCCATGGTCGACCTCCCAGGCATGAAACCAAACTGATTTTTGGTCACGCTTGTCATTCTTCTTAAGCGGTGCTCAATGACTCTCTCCCATAGCTTCATTGTATGGCTCATCAGCTTAATTCCACGGTAATTAGTACAACTCTGAACATCTCCCTTGTTCTTGAAGATTGGTACTAATATACTCCGTCTCCATTCTTCTGGCATCTTGTTTGCCCGAAAAATGAGGTTGAAAAGCTTGGTTAGCCATACTATCGCTATGTCCCCGAGACCTTTCCACACCTCAATGGGGATACAATCAGGGCCCATCGCCTTGCCTCCTTTCATCCTTTTTAAAGCCTCCTTCACCTCAGACTCCTGGATGCGTCGCACAAAACGCATGCTGGTCTCATCAAAGGAGTCATTCAGTTCAATGGTAGAACTCTCATTCTCCCCATTGAACAGCTTGTCGAAGTACTCCCGCCATCTATGCTTAATCTCTTCGTCCTTCACCAAGAGTTGGCCTGCTCCGTCCTTGATGCATTTGACTTGGCCAATATCCCTCGTCTTCCTCTCCTGGATGCGTTTGATATCTAGAAGCATGACAGAAAATTGAAATGACAAGAAGTCTGTGGAAATGGAAACAAGAAGGTGGTTGTGGTGAGAAGCGATGCATAAAAAATTGGCTAAACAGATGGTTTAGCATGTGAAATCAACTTACAGCACTGTAAAGAGTTATAAAGGTATATGGTGTCACAATGATGTGAAGAGTTGGCAGAAAACCAAGCCTGTGTGAACAAGAGCGAGTATTTAGAATTTAGAGAAATCCATGCAAGGTCCCTAAAACAACAAGTAGGAGCAAAAGAAGTGGATGTTGTTTATGGCATGCGGTTAAATTTTTCAGTCAAAAGGAATTTTGATCAACGCAATAAGGAGCACAGGAGTCAGAAGCAACAATTTGGAAGGGAAAGGCCAAATAAGCTACACAGCAAGATGAAATATTATTATATTGGCTAGACCCAGGCACTCACACCACGGCACCATAGTATTATGAAGGCAAAGTAGGAAGTTTGCACATGCACTCTAATTTCACAGTAAATAAGCAAATATTAAAGGAAATTATTTTCGTTAAACTGTCCAGCAAAAGTGACCCGATTGGCTGAAGGAGGTATGGGATATGGACATTATACAACTTCCAAAGTGTTTGACTGGAACAACACTCTTTTTATGTTTGAAATTGCAAATGCAAGAACACAAATAAAAAGGGCCTAACCAAATTTCCACGTTCATACATCCAACTTCAACACTAGAAATGATTTTCAGTCCCATGGAGCCATGGCTCCACACTTTGTTGCAGTTAAATGCATTTATGTCTGCCTGGGGATGTGTGTGTGTGTGTGTGTGTGTGTGTGTGTGTGTATAGCTGACAGTAATTGGACATGATTAGTGCGGTTTTCTTCATATATTGTGCTGCGCAGTGCACAGCCCCCATCAAAGACAAGTTCTACTACTCCCTCAGATCCATATTAATTGACGCACACCTAGTATAACTTTGTACTAAAGTTGTACTAAGTGTGCGTCAATTAATATGGATCAGAGGGAGTAGATTTTTCTTAAACTGGGTTGTCTGCTAGGCCAAAATCATTTCATGTCTCGGATGAAACAATCTAACATCTTTTTCCTATTGAATAACTTTTAAGCAGATATGTGTCATGATTGAACACTGGAAAGAAAGAAGATAGGGGAACCACAAAACTTCCTTTTCTCTCTTTCATGTTAACACTAAACATCACACACGTCTCTTCTTTCATCCAGCAAGAACTATGAATCATTTAACGGTATTTACTCAGAAAGAAAACATTAGCGCCCGCAATAATGTCACAATACAAGCACAAGTAAAGCATTTTACATACTTCCTGACCATAGGATCTGCTGCATCTGCAAGTTCTTGTATTGATTTCTCACCCTTAGTCTGCAGGAAATGATTGTGTACAGTCAAATTTCTTGACAATAAAATATGCGGCTTGCACAGTGCAATAGGAGTAGTACAAAATATAATAGTGTTTCGCTTCCCTTATTGCAGGGATCTTACATACATTCTTTACCCACTTGATGTATTGTTCAAGGTCCTGACGCATACCCTATATAAGTTTGAAGCATTAAAGAAAGTAGGGTTAAGCCTGTGGTCAAAACAAAGTTCTTCAAAGTAAAATATGACAATTAAATTTTATTTCAGCTGGCTCTGTAGTTAGTTAGGCACTTTTGCGATGCATGGGAATTCTGCAAGAACTTCATACGGAACAATTGAATCCTACAGGATACTGGAGAGGTTCTCACATTTCTTAACACACATTTTACTCAAGGGTATTGCATTCATAGCACACATTTACTACATATTCCCCATATGTGAGTTTTGGGTCTACAAAAAGATGGCTGATTAAAATTGTTGCTTGGTGGTGGGATTAACCCCAAGCAAAGAATCTTAACTTTGCATGCAGAAATTTGGTTTACTTCTCATGACCAAAAGATGGGATAAAATCTGACCTGTGACTAATTGGGCACAAGCAACTTCTGGCTACACAAGATACGAGCCTACTTACTTATAGCGCTCAGTATAAGCAAGTGTTCTAACATGCATAATAAAGTAAAACCAAAGGGAGGAACAATGGTAAATACTTAAGATCTTACATATAGTCGTTTATTGACAAGCGTCGAAATTGTGAACATCCCACAGCGTAGCAGCACTGTGGAGAGAGCAATAGAAATCCACCTGTGGTGAAAACAATACACACGGAACATGATGCACACCGGAAACGAAATTCTGAAGACAAGGTAAAGGGCACAAATTCCTCAAACCCCTAAACCCTGACCAGTTCAGACCGGTGAAGGAATGGACCGCGCCGATGAGATGCTGCACCGCCGCGACGGCCATTGATGAGTCCTCCGCGGCCCATGCCACCTCGCCGGGGAAGCTCGCCGGGGCCGCCGCGGACGCTGCGGAATGGGCGGCATCGGTGAGGGTGTCGGTGAAGCCGGTGTCGCGGGAGGAGGAGAAGCTGCGGCGGGATGGCCCGGGGAGGAGGTGAAGACCGAATGGGGGGAAGCTTAGGGTTTGCGATGTCCCGCGAGGGGCGAGCGCGAAGTGAAACGGTCGTGGTGCGGGTGGGGGTGGAAGGGTCGAGGGTTTTCGAGGATCGCCGGTGGAGTTGGATGGAAGCAGTTGAGGGAGTGACGGATGGAGGCGGCGGGCGAGGGGACCGGAGAGGCCACCGGATGCGAGGCTTCTGCGCGCGGCCGCGGCCGCGGCCAACGCCATTGCTGCTCGCAGCGCGGTACGCCCGAAAGAGAAGGCTGAAGTTCCCCTTTTTTTTGGAACTATAGTTATTTGCCAGTGGGTTTGCAACACGGCATATGTGTTCGGTAGTTTGCATCGTTTTTTTCTCCTTACACTCACCCCTATTTGCCAGTGGGAACGTCTTATCTCACTGAATGCGCACGCCGAAAACCAATCCAGTAATAAATGCGAGCATCGGGATTTAAAATCTGGTGGGCTAGGGATATCACAGTCCCTGTAACCATCCAATCACAGATTGGTTCGCGCACTGGGGTGCTGTTGAAGGTATAAAAAAACCAAGACCTTAGAGCAACTCCAACGCGCTGACCTAAACAAACGACGCTTTTGTCGTTTTTTGTCCATTTGGGTCGGCCGTCCGCCCTATTTGAGATTTGTGTCAGCAATGCGCCCAACGCGTCGACCCATATGTGCCGACGTGGCCGGCTGGCCGCCCTTTTTTAACAAATAGCACAATTTTGCATTATTTCATACACAACTTTTGCATTATTTCACAAGCAAGCATATAGTCCACAACCAAAAAAATAGTATAGTTTCAACCAAAAAATAGCATAGTTTTACAGTCCGAATAAAATTAAAAATATCTCACATAGTTTTGCCAGTCGAACTAAAAAGATACATTTATTGGATGCCAACATGAGCCCACATATACTCAACCAAATCATTTGGCAGTTGCAAATGAGTTTTCCAGTCACGCATGTCATGATGAAATTGGGTGAACTGTTCAAACGTTGCCACTCCTCCATGCTCAGGCACAACATTCTCACCCTGAAACTGAAACCCTTGATCGTAGAGATGTTCTGGGCGCTCATCTTCTACGATCATATTGTGCATGATCACACAAGCAGTCATCACCTCCCACCGTTTCTGCGTGCTCCAACTATTAGCAGGATACCGAATGATGCTCCATCGAGATTGCAAAACACCAAAGGCACGCTCGACGTCCTTCATAGCACTCTCTTGCTCTTGGGCAAATCTTTTCATCTTCTCTCCGATAGGGTTGGAGATTGTCTTCATAAAAGTGGTTCACTGAGGATAGATACCGTCGCCTAGGTAGTATCATTTGTCGTAGTTGTGGCCGTTGATAGTAAAGTTCACCGGTGGGCTGTTGCCTTCAGCAAGCCTAGCAAACACCGGTGAGGGCTGAAGCACGTTGATATCATTGTGTGATCCGGCCATGCCAAAGAAAGAGTGCCAGATTCAGAGATCTTGAGACGTCACGGCCTCAAGTATGACTGTGCAAGCCCTGACATGGCTCTTATACTGCCCTTGCCAAGCAGAAGGGCAATTCTTTCACTCCCATTGCATGCAGTCTATGCTGCCAATCATCCCTGTGAAGCCTCTGCTGGCATTCATCGCCAACAAACGGGGTTGTATCGGCTCCCCCAAGTACTCACGGTCAAACACAGCAATAACAGTCTTGCAGAACTTATACAGGGAGTCTAGGCATGTAGACTCGCTCATACGGACGTACTCGTCAATGAGATCACCGGGCACTCCGTATGCAAGCATTCGGATGGCGGCAGTGCATTTTTTTATAAAAGGAGAAATCGATATTTCCAACGGCATTCTCTTTCAACTCGAATGTTTGAACAACGGGTTTGTTGTGTCAAAGTAGCCCTTCCAAAGAAGGAAATGCCCGCTCTCTTGGTTGCGATTCAACGCTGGAAGGTGCCCCGGAATGGAGCCACGGAACGACGGCCGCTGGCTATTGAGGTGGTGATGGACCAACACGGCAACCAAGATCTCCTCCTCATCGGACGAGGAATCGTTGGAGTCGCAAAAGAAATTGTGAAAAAAGAACTCGTCGGCGGAGTCCATTTTATACCTTGGCAAACTGTCGAACAGCTTGCGGGCGTCGATGAAGGAGACGACCGGCGAAGGGAGTCGCGCCGCCCTCGGACCAGCTAGCTGCACTAGCGGCGTCTGACGAGCGTGCCGATGAGGATCTGGCCGGGGCAGCGAGGTGGCTTCTTTGGTCGCGGTCACGACTGTGTCGGGGGAGCGGGGGTGGGAAGCTTTCGGTTCCCCGACGGCAGGACGGCGGTGGCGGGCGAGGTGGAAGGTGGCGGTGTTACAGAGGGGATGTTGCGACGCCGGCAGCCGGCAGAGTCACTGGAGAAATGGGCAGCAGCGAGGACGAAGGAGGCGGGCGAGGGTTTGTTGCTAGAATGGGAGAGGATGGCCAATGTGCCACCGACCAGCGGTGTTGGGGAACGTAGTAATTTCAAAAAAAATTCCTACGTACACGCAAGATCATGGTGATGGCATAGCAACGAGAGGGGAGAGTGTTGTCCACGTACCCTCGTAGACCGTAAGCGGAAGCGTTAGCACAACGCGGTTGATGTAGTCGTACGTCTTCACGATCCGACCGATCCAAGCACCGAACGTACGACGCCTCCGAGTTCAGCACACGTTCAGCTCGATGACGATCCCCGGGCTCCGATCCAGCAAAGCTTCGGGGATGAGTTCCGTCAGCACGACGGCGTGGTGACGATGATGATGCTCTACCAGCGTAGGGCTTCGCCTAAACTCCGCGACGATATGACCGAGGTGGAATATGGTGGAGGGGGGCACCGCACACGGCTAAGGAACGATCCGTAGATCAACTTGTGTGTCTATGGGGTGCCCCCCGCCCCCGTATATAAAGGAGCCAGGGGGGAGGAGGCGGACGGCCAAGGAGGGCGCGCCAAGGGGGGAGTCCTACTCCCACCGGGAGTAGGACTCCCTTCTTTCCTAGATGGAATAGGAGAAGGGGGGAAAGAGGAGGAAGAGGGGAAGGAAAGGGGGGGGGGCGCCGCCCCCCTTCCCTTGTCATATTCGGACTAGGAAGGGGAGGGGCGCGCGGCCCCCTCCTGCCTCCTTCCCTCTTCTCCCTCGAGGCCCATGTAAGCCCAATAACCCCCTGGGGGGGTTCCGGTAACCTCCCGGTACTCCGGTAAAATGCCGGTTTCACCCGGAACGATTTCGATATCCAAATATAGGCTTCCAATATATCGATCTTTATGTCTCGACCATTTCGAGACTCCTCATTACGTCCGTGATCACATTCGGGACTCCGAACAAACTTTGGTACATCAAAACTTATAAACTCATAATAAAATTGTCATCGTAACGTTAAGCGTGCGGACCCTACGGGTTCGAGAACTATGTAGACATGACCTAGAACTATTCTCGGTCAATAACCAATAGCGGAACCTGGATGCCCATATTGGTTCCTACATATTCTACGAAGATCTTTATCGGTCAGACCGCATAACAACATACGTTATTCCCTTTGTCATCGGTATGTTACTTGCCCGAGATTTGATCGTCGGTATCCAATACCTAGTTCAATCTCGTTACCGGCAAGTCTCTTTACTCGTTCCGTAATGCATCATCCCGTAATAAACTCATTTGGTCATATTGCTTGCAAGGCTTATAATGATGTGCATTACCGAGAGGGCCCAGAGATACCTCTCCGACAATCGGAGTGACAAAACCTAATCTCGAAATACGCCAACTCAACATGTACCTTCGGAGACACCTGTAGTACTCCTTTATAATCACCCAGTTACGTTGTGACGTTTGGTAGTACCCAAAGCGTTCCTCCGGTAAACGGGAGTTGCATAATTCTCATAGTTACAGGAACATGTATAAGTCATGAAGAAAGCAATAGCAATATACTAAACGATCAAGTGCTAGGCTAACGGAATGGGTCATGTCAATCACATCATTCTCCTAATGATGTGATCCCATTAATCAAATGACAACACATGTCTATGGTTAGGAAACATAACCATCTTTGATTAATGAGCTAGTCAAGTAGAGGCATACTAGTGACTATATGTTTGTCTATGTATTCACACATGTATCATGTTTCCGGTTAATACAATTCTAGCATGAATAATAAACATTTATCATGATATGAGGAAATAAATAATAACTTTATTATTGCCTCTAGGGCATATTTCCTCCAGTCTCCCACTTGCACTAGAGTCAATAATCTAGATTACATAGTAATGATTCTAACACCCATGGAGTCTTGGTGTTGATCATGTTTTGCTCGTGAGAGTGGCTTAGTTAACGGGTCTGCAACATTCAGATCCGTATGTATCTTGCAAATCTCTATGTCTCCCACTTGGACTTGGTCCCGAATGGAATTGAAGCGTCTCTTGATGTGCTTGGTCCTCTTGTGAAATCTGGATTCCTTTGCCAAGGCAATTGCACCAGTATTGTCACAGAAGATTTTCATTGGTCCCGATGCACTAGGTATGACACCTAGATCGGAAATGAACTCCTTCATCCAGACTCCTTCATTTGCTGCTTCCGAAGCAGCTATGTACTCCGCTTCACATGTAGATCCCGCCACGACGCTTTGTTTAGAACTGCACCAACTTACAGCTCCACCGTTTAATAAAAACACGTATCCGGTTTGCGATTTAGAATCATCCGGATCAGTGTCAAAGCTTGCATCGACGTAACCATTTACGACTAGCTCTTTGTCACCTCCATATACGAGAAACATATCCTTAGTCCTTTTCAGGTATTTCAGGATGTTCTTGACCGCTGTCCAGTGATCCACTCCTGGATTACTTTGGTACCTTCCTGCCAAGCTTATTGCTAAGCATACGTCATGTCTGGTACACAATATTGCATACATGATAGAGCCTATGGCTGAAGCATAGGGAACATCTTTCATTTTCTCTCTATCTTCTGCTGTGGTCGGGCATTGAGTTTGACTCAACTTCACACCTTGCAGCACGGGCAAGAACCCTTTCTTTGCCTGATCCATTTTGAACTTTTTCAAAATTTTATCAAGGTATGTGCTTTGTGAAAGTCCTATCAAGCGTCTTGATCTATCTCTATAGATCTTGATGCCCAATATGTAAGCAGCTTCACCGAGGTCTTTCATGGAAAAACTTTTATTCAAGTATCCCTTTATGCTATCCAGAAATTATATATCATTTCCAATTAATAATATG